ATTTACTCTAGCATATTGCTAGTTTTTCTCAAGCTGTAGTGCTCAGCTACTTTCAAACACAGAGCTTATTTGGAGAAGCCTTCAGACTTTACATCTCCTGTGCGTACGGTAGGGTCTGTATCATCAGTGAATAGCCAAGGAGCAATAGCTCCGATCTTGTTTTGGAGAGCCCTGGACGTAGGTACTTCTCTATTAAAGATGGATCCGTTTGTTTCGTGCTATTGTGCGTGTTTCTGGAGTGCCATGAGCACAGCCGTTGCAGCTGCATGGGCTGAGCTCTCTGCACTGCGCGTAGCTGGAGGAAGCTTCAGTGTCGTTAGGAAATAGCATATATGGGCACTTGCACGGTTATAGACTAATAATTGTAGCTGTTGTATCATGGATGTCTCTCTGTTCACAGGCGTCAGGTTTCTAATGATGCTAAATATGCTAGAGATGGATGAAGAGTATGTATTTTTCTGTCAGCACTTAACCAGCTGCTGAATCCGAACTTGTACAAATAATAGCTGCTTGTTTGATACTGTGAGCATTCTACAATCTTTAAATTAAATCTCTTGTTAATGATGACTATCACTGGGTATCAGCAGTACTATTATGTGAGTTCCTTTGAAAATGTGTTTAATCCTTCAGAAACTGAACCAATGTCTGAATTACTCTAATGTGAGCACCAATGAAGTGGGATTTTGATGTCTGTCTGTATGAATTATATGCCATAAAAAATGTCCCTGAAATACTGTTTATACATTATGTGATGATCAGCGATGAGTCCAGAAAAATCAACTGAAGGAGAGATATTGAGAAAATGTAATGTGAAAAACAACATTGTTGGCTCCTTTTCCATACAAGGGGATGCTAAGCATCACCTTTATGGAGATGGAAGAAGTGTGACCAGGAATTCTTAAACTTGCATTTCATTTCTGTCATCTGAAGGATTGTGCAAGAGGACTTTTTTCTCTCTATAGTCTCACTACTCTGGATTTGGGGCTTTTTTCCCTCTTTGTTGCAGTATTTTTCTCCTGTGAAGATTTGCCTGAAGCAAGACACCTAGCTGCTCAGTCTCTTAGGAATCATGATGATGAGCACTTGAGACTCTAGTAGGAAGTGAGGTTAAATTATTTGTCATCACCTTCAAATAGATCTTTTAGAAGCAGAGAATGCTCATGTCAATAAATTGTTTTTGTGTTTCATCCTTCTCCTGACATCCCAAGGTACTCCATTTCAAATCCATGGAACAAAAGTGCATTCTCTTGAAATCACTTTGTGTGCGTGTGTCTCAAGTGTCAGCTACTTCATTGCTGAAGAAAATAATGTTATTGCATGTCTCCTGAAGATCACCAAGTTAAAAAAAAAAAAAAAGGCAACTTTTCAAGAACAGGGGCATGTGAGAACAGAAGATTTGCACATCACAGTGCAAATGGGGTTTATGTTTACCTTCTGTGCTTTTGGTGTCTTCTGACAGCATGGAGGGTTGCATGGTTTCTTGCTGCACCTGACACCTGAGTTCATTTGTTCGTTCCTTCTCTTGCACCAAGCTTCTCCCCCCTGAGAACCCCAGGACGTCCTAACAGGAGGGGGCTGGGGGTTCGGGACTGCCCCTTTGCCAGGAGGCACACACAGCACTGCTGTTGCTGCTTTTATCTGTAAGAAGCTAATGACTTCCGTGAACTTCCTTCTCTTCCAGAAATAATTAATAACTGAATTTCTATACACCCATATAGACAGGAGATATTCCTGAAGCCTGTGGTAAAACTTTCTGCTTAGCTTCTTCAGCTAAACCCAAAAGGGGGAAATATTTGCCGCACTAATATTGTTAGAATGAAAATTGTGCCCATCACTTAGATTTATCCTTATCTGAAAATGGACATTGGTCCTGATTTGCTGCTCACTGGGTTACTATGTTGGTAGTTTGATATAAACTAGAGGGAACACTCTGTCAGCCAGGCCCATTAATTCAGATATTTTATTTTATTTTTTTTAATTGTTGAAGTCTGAAGACTATTTGGCATATGTAAAATATGGCAATTGCTGTGCAGGTTCTTTGCTAGTTCAAATTTGGGCTAAAGTTCTAATTGCAATAAAGTCTCTTTAAAAGGTAACTCAACCTATGTTCACATGAAGGATAGCACACTGTTCTAATTATATAAATTCATGCACATTTTCTGGGTGGGAGGTTGCATTTGACTCCACATCTGGATTTATTGGGCACAGATTCTTGATGTTTAATACTCAACTGAATGGCTGTTTTCAGTACAGGAAAGCATTCTTGTTACTGGAAATTCTATTAAGTTTTTCAAATCTTTATTCTTTTCATACTTGGCCACTTTTAACATTGCTCTTGTTTTCTTTAAGTGGATTTTGCTCAGGTTCCTTTCACAGATATCTTCACTGCTAGAGGTTTTCTTTCTGCTGTGCATTTAGCCAGCCGTGCTTCTGGAACTTAATACGCCTAATCAGTATTGTTTGTGTGCAGCATTTCAATCCCAGATTCACATCCCTTGGCATGCATTTCTGTTGCATTGCTAATTTGGTTATGTAGCTGAGCTGAAACCACTTAAAAGCATTTTCCTTGTCAGGGCCTGGAAGTGTAATAAGTTCTGTAATCAATGAGAGGGGTGTGAAATAATGAGAAGGACAGTATGTGGATCTTCACAGTCTGGAAGCTCTCTTACCCTGCTGAATTATTTGCAGGATTTCAATGATTTTCCAGTGTAGCTGAGATTTAAAATTGAGGGGCTTTGGTAGAGGGTCTCTCCAACATAATATGTAGGTTGACTGGATCAGACAGCAATGGTGCAGTTCGGTATTTACAGAGGGAACCAAAGAAGGAGGAAGAGTGTTGATAATTAAAGATGTTCATATAGGGGGATAATATCTTTGCTTATCTTTAAGCAAATCACTTTTGTGGATATATTTAGACTATTCCTTGTGCTTGTAGAATTTCTGTAAAAAGGTGGTGATCTCTCTGCTTGTTCATAATTCTGGTATACTGCCTCTCCACTCAAAGAAGAGGGGAAAAAAAAAAAAGGAGGATTGCTTGGGACTCTGCCTTTTTCTCATGAGCTGAAAAATAAATTGAAAAATATTGCTCATAGGCTGGCTACGCAATGAACCAGCCTGATAGCTGCCCCAAGGGAATTCACGTTGGAGAAGACCTGGGCTGCTCCCTGACAATGGCTTTCTGCAAAGCCAGCGCTGCCGTGGCGGGGGGTGACTTGGGCTGGCTCTGGACAACGAGGTCTGGTGCTGGTAAAACTGACCTTCATCACTGCAGGAGGGAGAGATACAAACACCTTAGCTGAGCAGCAACAGAAAAAGGGACTTCTTGCCTCTGTTAAAATCATTAGTTCTCACAGTCATTAACAACTTAATTTCCTTTCCTTATTGGTATCAATCAGCTAATTTGAATTCACTCATCCCTATTTCTAATTAAGGATGTTAACAAAGGAATTTTTCCCACTTATGTCCTCTAACTGAGCATTTACTTTGATTGAATGTCTCTCAAATATTTGCAAGGGATGACTCTGAGGGCTGGTTTCTTGGAGCCCCTGGCAGTACCCAGACCTGCAGGTACTGTAGGAAGGTGATCGAGACTGATGTGAGGTTAGAAAGAAGTGTGATACTGGAGGTGGAACAAGTGGGATGTGGTGTTGGCAACCTTGGAGAATAATAGATTGCACTTCGGCTGCTTTCATCAATGCAGCTAAGAACACTTCACAGGGAGTAATTATATTTCACGAAACCCTGGTGAGGCAGGTATATAATAATCCCACATTTTGCAGCTGGACAGATTGAATCATGCAGGTGTTACTTGGACAAGGTAAAACAAGAAGTTAGTGAACAATTTTGGGGGAGAGGGGGCAGAGGAGGAATCAATTATTCCTGATTCTCAACCTGTTGGGCTTGCTTCAAGCTCTGAAAATACTGTTTGGTTTGCTGCTTAATTGCAGAGGCACCCAGTTATCTGTTCACACAACCATAAAGGCAAGAAAGCCACTTTATTGCCTGGTTTTACAGTCACGTTACCAGGTTACACATCCATCTCGAGTCTGAGAGGGAGAGGATGGTTAAGGCATGAGCCTACCACTTGAAATATTTAGATTCACCTTTTTTGTTGCTGCTGTTGAGTTCTTTTGGCTCTTTGTGATTTAATTTCTGTGTTCCAGTTTTCCATCTGCAAAATGCCTTCCTTCTCTCAAACTTATTTTTTTATGCCTTGGCCTGTCAGATGAGAAGATCTCTGCGGCAGAGGGTTTGTAGTTTCTAACACGCTGGGCGCTGCAGCGATCAAGGAATGACTTTCAAAGCACCGCTTTCCCCCGGTGGCAGTTGGGGTGACATTAAGCGTTTGGATTCCTGAAGTTCTCACCTACTAAAATATATTAAAGGCAATCAGTGGGTTCTGAAGGACATTTCAGGCTCTGCAGGTTGGGGAGAAGGGGGGTGCGTAGTTAATACAAACATACTGAGCTTCCCAAGGTGGCGTTGAGAGCAGGCATGTTCGCTCAATTCTCTGGAGCACCGCTTCGGTTGCAACTCTGAAGTGATTCTTTCTTCCCTCAATCTGGCTCTGTCTTTCAATTAGAGACTGGGATTTGCAGCGGAACAGAACATCAGACTTTAAAATACCAGCTGTGCTTTATTTTAAATGATTTCTTCTTTCAAAGACGTACTTTGGGAGCATACGGAGTCTGGTGTTTTCTCTCTAAGATGGTCCCTGTAGGTTAGAGTTTCAAGTTTGTGGTTATGGTAGGATTTGTTTCTCTAGAGTATGGTAGAATAACTTGCAAGGGGAAGTGTTGATTATACTATAAAGAAAGAAGGTTTGGTTTTAATTAGTAAAACCATAACTCAAAATGTTTTATTGTATTGACTAAAACATGCAGTTCTTTAAATGTGCTCCACGAGGATTCATTTGTATTTGATATCAGGAAAATACTGTTCCTTACTGTCCTTCTGTGTGTGTCTGTGTGTACGTGTGCGTGTTTGTTTTTAATGTGCAGGACAGCAGAGAATTGGCAAAGACTCCCACTATGAGCAGGAGGGGAAGGTCCAGTTTGTGATCGATGCTGTGTACGCCATGGCACACGCGCTCCACCAGATGAACAAGGACCTCTGTGCCGACTACCCGGGGGTCTGCCCCGAGATGGAGCACGCGGGAGGCAAAAAGCTGCTCAAGTACATACGCGGCGTTAACTTCAACGGTGAGCTGAGATGCTGCTTCAGTAGCGTATTGACTCATGTGACTTTCTGCCGTTTAATTTCACTTTACATATTTTTTCGTTCAATGCAGATCAAGACTTTTTTTTATTGTTACGTTAGAGTTTGTGGCAGAAGACCATGTTTGTTTAGTATCGAATTTGAAAACATCATGTTTAGCCAAGGCAAATAGGCTACTACTGCCCAAAGACAGAAATTGCTGCTGCTATTTTAGGATGTCTTCCAGAAGACTGATTTTCTATGGGAGAAGTAACTGGGTAAAAGCCTAAGCTTGTCTCTGACTAAATATGTCTGTTGAAACCCTAGAAGTCTGTTAACATCACACATCATTTTTTCCTCATTATTTATATTGTTTCCTGTACTTGGAGAAAACTAACTGGATGAAATTCTGGTACCCTGAACCCAGCTTAGCTGCGTGCTCAAGAGAAGGGAGAGGACAGCTAAAGGGCCAGGTCCACTTGCAGAGCCAGAACTATGTGATGTAGAGAGAGTAGTTACTCCAACCTTCACTCCTTTAGTAAGACTTCAGAGGAGACAAAACATCCTGGGAATAAGGATGGGAGCACTTTATCTCTTTGTCTGCTGATCACTTATCCACCTGTGCTTCCCAGGTGTGGCAGTGATGGTTGCAATACCAGCCCTCTGTTTCAGACAATACAACGGGCTTTCATGTATTTTTCTTTGCTTTGCACTATGTAAATCAGACCTAAATATTAGCAAAATTTCATTACCTCTATGTGTTTTACTGTAATTTTATTAGTTTCACTAACAAATGTTCACCTGCAGCCAGCCCAGAGGCACCAGAGCGGATCGCTTACAGCAAGTAACATGACAGCAACCTAATGTTATTTCTCCTTCATAAACCTTGCTAATGTACTTACCAGGAGGTCTCACTGCTCTTGCCCTAGCTCTCTATAAGATAGAGATCTGCGACTTAACCAGGAGCCAAAAGTTAGACCTCCAAATCCATATTTAGAACAGATTTAGGAAAGTACGGAAAAAAAAGATCCTTTTGAAATGTGCGAGGCAGCCAGGGCTGTCGCTGCCTAGGAAGAGGGGTTTGCGTAAGCTTCACGGCCCCGTTGGGCAGCACGGGGGAGGCATTCCCTGCTGTGATCTACTAATAAACATTTTTATTAATAATCTTAACAAAACCCACACATAGCCAATAGGACCTGAGAGATTTAAAGGTAGGAACACAGATGGTATTTCATGGTCAAGCTTGATCATTTGTGCCAGGGATATTTTTCCTTCCTGTATAAATCATCTTATAAACAGCAAGGTGAATATGAGGAGAGTTTAATTTCTTTCCTTGAAGTAAATGGTGTTAACTACAGCCAGGAGCAAATTTTGAGATGAATGATCTGAGGAGGTCTGGAGAGTTCTACTTCCCTCATTTTGGAAGGTTAATTATAAAGGACAAAGCTCCTGTAGAAGCACAACATTCATGTACAGTATTGCACCTGGGCCATTTTGTTACTGAAAAGCACTCACACATGGTCATCTCTAGACAGTTCTTGCATATAAAGATGCTGCATGGTCATCTAATAATTTTAATAGAACTGAGAAATAATTTGTGAGAAATTAGGTTTCTAGCTAATGTTGCCTACTGTCCAGGTACAAGAATTGGTTTGCAGCAACTTTGATTTCCTTATCTGCGTTTCCTTGGTCAACCTTTTGAAAGATGACTATTTTCCTCCATAAGTGATTGAATTACTATATGATGGCTATATGGTGTTTTTCTTTGCTTGTATACATGTAACTCGTGTCCAGCACAGGGACTGAAGCAGTGGTTTGCTTTTTAGCGTGGCAAGGAGAATGGTGGCAAAACTGAGATAGCTTTAAACCCTTTTAATTTTCCTTGGCTATCTGGATGTAGGCATTTTTCATGGGAAAAGAACCAATTCCTTTTAAAGTTCATTATCCAAGGGCAGTGTTTAGCCTTTTCTTGTCACATTCGTAGGGCATAACTGCGCATGTGTTCGTACACCCAGGCTCCATGTTCAGCTGCAACCCTCCTGGGGCTCGTTCCTTGGGCTATGGAAAGATGCTCTGAAGCCAGTTTCTTCTTCGTATTCTGTGAAAGTAAATTCCCAGAATTGCTGTAGATTCGTTCAGTCTTCCCAGTGGTGCAGGATAAACAGCCATCATATAAGTCACCAAACAGACAAGGCCAGCCTGAAAAATGCAGAGAGATGAGGGAATGGAAGAAGCAATGAGAGGGGCTCTGGCTGGGCTGGTCTGGGTGGTGTATTCCTGTTGATAAAGCCTGGGAGCTCCTGGGACACGAGTGCTGGTGCCTACGTGTTCCTTGGCCATCGTGACATGGCTGGAAGGGCAGGGACAGAGGAGTGTTCTGCTGGGCTTATGTCAGCTGGCTTGGCTTTAGCCTTGATCGCAACTTGCCCTTCCCTGAGTCACTGCTGTAGCCATGCAACTCCATCTCATGAAGGTTAGCACTTGGAAAGCAATATTTAATCTATGCTTAAGATCCTGTTCCCCCAGTCTTCTACCTAAATTTGTAGTAAAAACAGAAAGTAGAGCGGTGGAAGTGCTTTGTCCAAACTGTGTGCCAGAGAGAAAAAACTGTAGCCCATTTTCAAGCATCCTAAGCCCATGAGCTCGAGATCCTCTTTGCATGTAATCGATCTCCTTGTCACTGTGCAGTTGAAATCATCCTGTCTGTACCTGCTTTGGGAGTCTTTTTTTCGTTGCAAAGATAGTGACATTCATGCAGAAAGAGCTCAAGCAACGCTTTAATGAAGAGAGACTGGATTCGTACTAGGAGCTCAGTATGAACTTTGATATTGTTATACTACCTTGAGAACAAAAAGGCCCAAAATATGAAAAATTTAAAACCCCGATTGCTCATGCAGTGAGATTCTGAAAAGTGCAAAGTGGTGGTATTTTTGCCAGTGAAAAAGCTAAAAATTCTGTTCGTACAAGCCCTTCAGGTCCTCAAACCGCAGTAAATGTGAACTGAATAAGAAACACATTAGCTAGTTACACTTGTCTAGCACCCTGTCCTTCTATGAATTCATTTCTCATCTTGTGGTGATTAAGAGATTGAAATCCTACAAATTCAGTCAGATCGTGTCTTTTTTTTTTGAATGCATCGTGCAGGCGAAAGGGTGTCATGTACTTTCTGTGTCTGTGTAGTGAGAAGGCAGCTTATTTGGGAACAGAAGATTAATTGAATTGTCATAGCCTCTGAATGAGCAAGAAGCTGCAGTCTAGAGGCTAATATTCAGTTTCTGAAGTGCTTGCTGGGGCTGAGCAAAATTCTTGTAAATGTTAATAGAAAGAAAATAAATCCTAAATTATCAAAACTCAACTAAACTGTATGTTTTAATAATTAGAAGATCAAGAAGTCAAATAACAAATAGAACCACTTTTCAAAATACTGTTTCCTCTCTGTAATGAGGTTTTCATATGCTACTTTTTATTATTTTCATAAGTGCAGAAAGGAACTTGAATTACAAGTGGAGACTGAAATGCGGTAGCAATTTAAAACAGGATGACGGGTCCCTACAGACAGATGGTACAAAAAGAGCACCAAAGCGTGCACCAGAGCCCACACAAAGGTTAAAGCAAGCTTGCACTTACTAAGCAGATCCTTGGCCAGGAGTCCAATTACTCCAACTTCAAAGTCAAGAAATGGGATGCTTCTGCTTGACTTATGACCCGAGATTATCAGTTCTTTGCATTTCTATAGATATTCGTCTTCCCTACAGAACCCAGACTTTTCACAACATTTTTTTCAGTATAATTTTAATGCACAAATGGTGATGTACCTGAAAATAGCAAGAGGTGTTAACTACTGACTATCAAGTATCCATATCCATGCATGAGGTTGATGTCCCAAGGGCCTGTGCCTTTAGGAGTGTCTGGAGGTTGCCCAGCAGACAGTGCTGTATCATGCCACGTTCCTGTGGAGTCTGCAGCCCTGTAGCATCCAAGTGCACCCACTGATCTTAGGGTTTTAATTTAAACTTTAAATGTTGGTGTTTAAAAGCTGTCTGCATGCCGCTACGCAAAGCAACAACTAGCAGTAACCTACAAAAAGTTTTCTTGCTCCTGCAAAACACAGAAATGGTGCATTTTGGAGTGACGGTTCCTGATACCTTCTCACTTTAGGATCTCTTAGGTCCATAACTGCGCCTGTCCTTCATGTTGGTCTTCTGCTTATTGACCCTATTGTCCACTGCCTGCCCCTCAAGCAGGGAACGGGGATCCTGCCAGCCCCATCTGGGTGCCCAGCCAAGGGATGGAGAGGTTTGGCTCTACCCCATGCACCATGGTGGGGTGGCCGTGGCTTAGCCAGGAGGCTTCTGGGTGACGTTGCTGATGGCCCATGAAGGTGACCATAGAGCCGCTCTTGGCTGCTTCCCCTCAACCTACAGAAGACTTCGAGACAGTAGAGTTTGCCTCGGCACTGTTGACTTAGGCATGGCTGTGACAATGGCATCCGCTCGATCTGCCTCCTGACATGCAGACACGGACACCTCTTCATGTCTGCGCTGGGGTTTTGTCAGGATGTGGGGAATCCACAGATGTCTATGTTGGGTTTTGGGAGCCTTGCTTGAGCTCCTACCCTTTGAATTGTACTTTTTTTGTCAGCTCTGACAAAACCGAGCTTAACTAATAATACACAGCCTTTTAGGAGTCGTGATTAGCTAAATCCCATTTACCACTTGTGCTGACTTTCTGAAGGAGCCTAGGAATGACAGCCATTTCTTCTTATTCGCTTTCAGTGTTTTCACTGTAAATGTATTCTGGCTACATTAATCTGTAATGACAATTAAATATCTGCCTAGTGCTCATAAGGAACCAGTGAGGGGAGATTTCAGTGGAAGATTTTCTGTACCAGCCTTTGAGCTGGATCTGTATCTGATCTCAGAGGATTGTAGGATAGACAGGAAACAATTTACCAGGGCTAGAATGGAAACTATGTTAATTCACTCCTTCAAATCTTTTTTTCACTCATTGGAATTCAATGAAGAATGGGAATCATGAAGAAAACCATAATCTTAAAGTTCAATGCTACAACAGGAGAGATTTTTCATTGCTTTAGGGAAAAAAAAGTTACACAAGAGGAGGAAGCTTTGAATATAGATATGCTGGAGTATTGTCATAATCTTCAATCTTGACACAATATTACTCTACCCTACTGAAACCTATTTTAATATGTCTTGAAATAAATGTCACCCTTGAAGTTTCCACCTAGAGATTAGAGGAAGTGCAACGCTGCTTTGAATTCTCATCTAAGAAAGGGTTTACATCTAATGCCATGGTAATTAAAATGCAGATGTTCTGGTGAGAACTGACCTGAGGATCAAGAGTCGTCTGTCCCATCGCTCAGCTGTCGGTGCACCTCCAGGCTGCTGGCTGGCTTTGCTCAGCACCAGGCACAAAGGAAGGGTTGTGGGGGTATCCTTGCCTTGTTGCTTGCCCTGCACTGCCTTACCCATGTTAGTCACCTTAGTATATGGCCAATAATGTTAATTCAGGATCCTGATCCTGAACTATTCCTGACTGAAATACTTTTTAGCCTGCGTCAGTGTCATAGAGCCTAAATAAGGGAGTACACAAGGAACAGTCTTCCTGTAGCTTAGTCTGTTCTTTTCCATCCCAACTGCATGCTGATTATGGGAATAAGAACATATTGTGGAGGAGGAAGCTATTTCTGGATGCTAGTCAAGATTCACTAGACCTGGGCTGACTTCTGACAGCAGTATCTCTCAGAAGCAGATGGAATATTTTCTGGTGGGGGGGGGAAAAAATCATTTAGAGGCTCCATTCACAGGAGTAAGTTTCACTAAAGAACTCCCTGAGGAAAGAGAGATGGGAGGGAGGCTGGAGGGCAGGAAGAAAAGCCTTCTGATATTTCTTGCTTTGTGCAAAGCTGGAGTGAAGTAAGGCTGATCTAGTTTTCCTTTGTTCTATTTTTAGTCAGTAGGTTTGGACAGTGATAATTAATCTCTAGAAGAGGGCTAGAATGATGTCACCGTGTCCTGAAATATCCATTTCAGATAGCTGGGGGCAATAGATGACCTTTGCCTGAAACACATTTGCCAGTTTGAAAGCTCCTAACCATGGCTAAATAAAATAGATATTGTGAAGATTTGGTACTGGTTGGTTGGATTTTGTCTTGTTTCCTTCCCCCAGGCAGTGCTGGCACGCCAGTGATGTTCAACAAAAATGGTGATGCCCCAGGACGCTACGACATCTTCCAGTACCACACCACCAACACCAGCACCCCGGGCTACCGCCTCGTTGGCCAGTGGACAGATGACCTCCAACTCAACGTGAGTTTATTTTATTCTTTGTTAGCTCTTTTTTGTTGGATATAGCCACTAAATGCTTTTTTTCATCCTGCAAAAATTAATAGGTATCTTTACTTTTTTTCCACAGCTGCAGAACGTGGGGTTTTTTTGCATGTTACCTTCTTTAACTCTGTCCTGCAACCTTTTCTCTGTACCCTGAGTACCAAAGCTCCTCAGACTAATAGAGATATTAGGTGATAATGCAAATGTTATTGCTTTTGTGTGTCTGAAGTCCCTAGTTGCCAGCTTGGAAAATGAAGCAGTAATGCGTTGTAGTTTGAAACCAATGGGCTTTCATTTGTAGACTCTTTTCAGTTTTTCTAGTTGTAGGAAAGCTGAAACTAAATGTTTTTTGAGTGCCTCACTTTTTCCAGTGTTACTTTTAAGCAAGTAGCAAAGATATCCATATGAATGAGATGGCCTTTTTGTAATGACGCCTAAAGAAAAACAAGCACGTAAGAGTTAGATGATCAAAGACCCTCAAGATACTTTGATGTTTCCCAGATGAAGAAACCATGACTGGTGGCTCAGAAAGCTGAGACTGTAGTGTCAGTTTTGTCCATACTAGGATGGTCTGTGGCAGGTCTCTGGAGATCCTGGTTCAGGCTTCTGGCTTGACTTTGTGCAAGTTGCTTGAGCCTCAAATTCATGGAGAAGTGGTGCCAGTTTAACCTTATAGTTATTTGACTCCTTGTAGATCATTATTAAAGTGTGAAGACCGTGTTTTCAGTTCAGTTTAACTGCTCTTCAACAACAGAGCATGAATGAAGTCAAGGTATTCCTGAAGTGAAATGCTAGCTGCTACAAAAGGGTTTTCCTCTATCAGTCAAAGTTCCCACCTGAGATTATACCAGCTCCCTTTCCTAACATCATCCATCTTTGGTGTGTTATGGCTCCTTCCCTGCCTCTGCTGCCGGATTTCCTTTGAAACAGGGTGCAGGGTGAAAGGGAAGGCTGTGTGAGCATGGTCCACTCCTGACACACACTTGAGAGGTGGCCAGGACATGCCCGGCATGCAGCATGTGGTCACAGCAACTGTGGCTTGTGCCACATCAAGGGATGAGACCCGTCCATTGCGGGGAGGTCTGAGCTACCCCTCCAACTATGCAACTCTTCAGCTGGGATGCAAGCCATGGGCTACCTAGGTAGATCAAAACACCGTCGTTTGGAGTGTAACCAAATGCAAGACACTTTCCATTTTTAATGTTTTCATGTCTTTTGTTAAATGGAGTAATTAATGGGATTGCCAAGGGTCTAGGCTTTGAGACTGACCATGATATTTTGCTCTTCTTGAATTTTGGCTCATTTTGATTTGCTGTATGCTCTTTCAGTGGTTTTCAACTTTTGATGTTCTATTTAAGGAAAACGGTATTAACTTGCAATTTACAGTTCTTTTAGCAGAAATATTAATATTTTATTAAGTAAATCCTTCTTTATGTAAACTACACATCCTGATTCATTAAAATGTAAAGCTAAATTAGTGGAGCTTGATTTATATTCCTGTTGTTGTGTTAAATGTTTCCATAAAAAACACTTTCCTCACCCTCGTATCATCACGGCTACAGGGTTATATCAGTAGTTGAGTTTCTCTCACTAACTTCCCTTCTACTCACTTACAGGTCCTAGTTTCTCACACAGGATTAGCATTGCTGTGATAGTCCCTGATTGTATTTTCTTACAATAATAAAGAAAATTGTGGAGTTTAGAGAAGTCAAGGATTCCCTAAAATAACCAACCAAAATAGTTGCTGCTGTTATATACGTCCCAGGAAAAACTGGCTACAATTTGTCTTCAGTAATTATTGTGGACATAACACTTCAGGATATGTTTCCTCAGTTCTTATTTCTTTAATACTAACACAAGAGGGGAAACAAAAGGATGTTTGGTGAGAGTGCTAAGTTTAATTTAGAAAATGCTGAAGTGATGCTTTGTTTTCCAAGAGACTTGTCATCTTGGGCAGTCTCATTTAGATCTGTGTGTCTGAATTTCCTCACTTACAGAAGAGAAAAGTTGTTCTGCCCTATTATGCAGGCATTCATGGTAAGGACAGTCCAGGTCTCCAAGGCAGTAGGTAAATAAGTGATGAAGACCATCATAGGTGAGTAAATATTTTCTTCTTTATCATTGTCTTCAGTCAAAGAAGGAGCAAGACTCTTCTGCCATTTTATTTCCCTGAAAGTAGTGCTACTGTTCAGTCTGTCGTCAGTCTAATCTACAGTGATATGTCACCTTCCCATCCACAGTATTTTGGAGTGAGAGGCAGAAATATGGGGGGCACAGGGCTGATTACTCTCGATAGCTGTACCACATTTTTTCTTATAAAATTACAGAATAATTTCTGTTTATATTTCTTTCTATTGCATAAGACACTAGATAGACTGAAGAGATCTTTATCGTATTTGCAAGTCTTAAAATATGCTGTATCAGTTTGTCTTCTTTTTGTCGTCGTGAGTTTATAAACCTGATTTTACGAAAAGTCTGAGACTGTATATTTCTCTCAATCCTGATTGCTTCTCCACCTCTTTGTATCACCTTTGCTTTTCTGTCTGGCAGAAATGTTCAGTAAAGGCAGATGTCTGCTCCCTGCGTGCACAGGAGCCAGGCTCTGCTCTCCCCTTAGCAAGTTTGTATGTGAAGTGTCTCCTCTGAGTGCAGTTGACTCACCCTGGATTTACGTTTCTGTATATGAGGTCGGAAATTTGGTCGATAATCAATAAAATATTTTTTAACTTTTCACTGCAGCAAACTTGGGACATAATACAGTTTTTATGTAAGGACAGTATAATCACCAAATTTTCTTTTGCTTGCTTGCTGTCAAGCAACCTAGCACAGCTTTGCCTAGTAACCAATGCATGATTTAGTAGGAATTTTGGCTGTATTTCACAGATATCTATGCAAGGATAAAATGAGCAGATGTCTAATTTTAAATTACTTGGCCAGTATTCCATGAAAAACTGTTGCAGTGCTTTGTTCTCCCTGCGGTGAAGTTGTGATTACAAGATGCCCACCCACCTCCCGTAAGAGGTCATGGAGGAGCACCTCCTGCCTGCCTCTCTTTGATGAAGACTATGCCAAGCTCTGCCAACCCCTTTTTGGCCCCCTGCATGCAGATTTAGTATGCAATATTTATAGTTTGCGTCCTTCTGCAATATGAAATGCTTTGCCCTGAAGTTTAGGATCAGAAATTTGGCCAGCTCCTTCCTTTTGAAATCCTGTATCGTGACCCCCAGAGCCTGTTGAATAGCAAAGATACAACTAATGCAATTAGACAATAAAACTGTTGACCACAGTAATATTAGCATCTGAAACCAGGATTGTATTTTACTGTGCTAGTGTTGAGGGTATGCTCCTGTATTGCAAGGCAGTCACATCATTATGAGGCGAACTATTTTGACTCTCTTTAGCTTCAATATGTTTCAAAAGCCAAAAGTTCTAGCGGTGAAAAGTAGGAAACCTGCAACGGGGAAAAGGAGGGGTGTCATGTACCAGCTGGTTTTTCATTCTTTGGCTTTTCAAGTGGGTAACTTCCTTCTCTCTCTCTTTTTTTTTTTCCCTTTTTTTTTTTTTTCTTCACTTTAGCAATTACTAGATCTCTAATACTTGTGTTGTTCGAGAAATAGGAAATAGTGAGGATGACTCTGTGGGTGAAGGGTGAAGGCAGAGTGGCCAGGAGACACAGGTTCTGCTTTCATGCCTTATGTTTCACTTTGAATTTCAGAAAGGTAATTAACTTTCCATGCTTTGTTTTACCCCATGTGCACTATAGATCCAGTATCTATAGATGTCTTCTTAACACCCGTGCCTTTATTTGCGAGTCTCAGTAAAGCACTTGGAGGTTGCTCCATAGGAGGCACTGCAGGAACGCAGGGAACTGGCTGACCAGCTCCCAGACCTGGCTGGTTTCTGTGAAGGCAACTCCTAATGCTTTGAGGTGCCTGACAAAACCAGAAACGCGTCTGTCCTGGAGGAACTGATGTGCCTGAAGGAGAAAGAAATGGATCACTCCTAGAGGAACTGCAGGTTCTCATGGGAAATTTGGTGATATTGCTTCTCTTTCTCTATATAGAGTTAACTCAGCAGGTCCCAGGTTTATTATGTTTTTACATCCAAACCTCTGCAAGTATCCCTGAACTGTCAAAATCAAAAAAATAAAGAATCCCTGTGAAATTGTTGAATCTTATTTTTCCAAGGATTTATCTTCTGCATACCCTATCACAGCAGCACTCTCCATCACGTTCCCTGTGATTCCTTCCCATAGTTGTGTCCACAATTTCCCTGCAGTGCCTGAACCCCCTCCCACACCCCTATATAATTTGCAGTGCAAACAGCGTCCTGTATTGTGGCTGTCTTTGAATTACACGTATGCAAACGGTTTGACTGGCTGGCCGAACCAAAAGGGTGAGAGATGCTCGGTGTTGGGTGGATCTTTCTTCTAACTCCCCACTGCTTTTTACTGATCCTGCAGACACATCCTTCAGAAATCTCTGCTTGTAGAAAATGTGCTTCAAATTGACCAGCAAGTTCAAAAGTTATGGGGAAGGAAGTTGGTACAGACAGATGGAGGGACAGACAGAGTGTGCATATGTTCCACCCCCTTCAAATTTTCCTCTAAAATGATAGCAAAATTTAGAAATTTCCAATAATTGTGCAGAACGAAAAGTAAAGTAAAGCTAGTCTTGCTGCTAATAATTTTTGTTGAAAATGTGATTTACGCAAAAGTGTTGCCCAATAAGTAGACTGCTATCGCATTTGGGCAAGTAGGCATACAGGTTCAGTCTCTTGTATCGCTGAAGTGAGCGGCAGACTTGCATTTAACTGAAAAGCCAAACTTTTGGCCTTTTCTTCCATGTCTACCCTGTTTTCTTGTTTCATACTGACAAGCTTTTGGGGGTCATTAAAAGGCTGAGCTCAGTTAAAGTTTTTAGTGCAAGTGGCTCCGTCCTGGTTTGGATGTGTCGGCGCTGCCAAGGCTGAGCCGTGAG